TGGGAGAAATCCGAAGAAATGCGAAATAAATCCATCTATTTTGGATACTTCTTATAAAGAATCTCAATCCAAATTTTAGAACTACACAACAATATATACTGACTGCTGAAAGGATGGTGACATGCTGCTGCCGCCTTTATTGGTGGAAATCAAGTATCAAAACATTGATTGGTGTATAATAATTTCAGAAGAAACCAGGTCAAAAAAACCTTGATTTGAAATATATGATACTAAATATATTTTCATTTTCTCCTATTCAAATTCAGATCGTTAGTCACTCAACAATATGAAGTTGGAAAACCTTTTATTGACAAATATTTGCATTAAACATGATGAACTGTTTCCCCCACAGTATAATATAATGTTTGTTATCCGTTCACGTCGGCATTAAGGATAATCAAAGAAGAGACTGCAATGCCAACTTAGCTTTATCTCCACACCCATCTTATTTCTTTTAAATACTATACAATGACTTTAAGCCTAATATATACATATTGTTAGTAAACGGTAAGCATCATGGAATGATGTGAAAAACACGCTCCATATGCTAAAACCCTCTTTAGGCGAATGTCGTCCTTACTACCGAACCTTTCGTAATCACCGAACGAATTAGAAATTGTCAATATTATATAACCTGCTGCAACATATACAATGGTGAAGATTCATCCGATTGCATTTCATGCAATAAATCCTTTCAACTTGAAGCATCTTCTGTTTGTATGAATAACCTACATGCAGTCGCTTCGACAATGTTTAGCACATGATGAAGCAAAAGATATATTAAACGTGACTTCTCCTCCTCCTTCTGCTTCTTCATGTACTTCTGATGGTCATTTTTCAACACAAGATAGGTTAAACATGGCAGCCAATATAACTGGTGGAGGAAGAACCCTGGAAAACCCCAGGAAGAATCATCGACCCAGAAGAAGCTACTTGCAGGCTTTCTCATGTACCCAAGTAACCTAGCCTGAGACTGGAACCCACGCAAACAGGTTCGATGGCAGTGATCAGGAACGTAAAGCGCTTTAGACCACTCGGGGCCCGCAAGTATGTCTTGTATCGTCCATTTCGTGATGAAGTTAAAATTTATTTCGAAATAAAGTTGGAGTACATACTTTTTTCTTTGAGGGTATTTCTAATCAATATGAATACTGCGAATCACCCGATATAGCGTTTTTAATCTAATTACACTTTATGAACACCATTAAAATTACCTGTTGACCGTCGACTGTCATATTTTAAAGTCACCATCTTATTATTTTTTGTTGTTTTTTTTGTTGTTATTTTTATGGCTCGCTGATAATAATTTTTTATGCACAAATGATTTATCACAAAACCCTTTATGGGGCGCTATTATAACCTTGCAATTGGTGAGCCATTATTTCGACCAATCGATCAGTACAACCGAAACGTTGAAAACTGATGCAGGTGATAAGTTTAGGACCATGATGTTGTTGCATAGGACGATATAGCCATGTTACATGCAGAGAATGATAGATATGATGAAGATTCAATTGCTGATAAACACCTGTTGTTATGCCATGTAGAGAGCTTTATTGTGATGCAGGTTAATTACGTGAACATAATTGCTGATGGGCGTGTTGTTTTGGTAACCTGAGATTTAAACAGCTTCATTCTGAGCGTGCTTGAATCATTCATCAGTTCGATTGGCTGTTTATGTACAATGTTGTTTGTTAGGTGCTTATCAGTTTGCGTTTCTGCATCGTTAATCTTTTGCTGTGTGATGGATAAGAAATTGTTTCATCCGTCAGGCCGGTTGTAATAAGGTAATTATTCGGAACTTCATGCTGCATCAGAGGGGAAGTTGCATTGGACGTGTTGTTCTGATTTGTTGTCAGAGTTGAACTGTATATGTATAAAGAACAGTCTGTTGTTTACCGGGGCATTTATTTAATTTTTTTATATCCACAACATATGTGTGTATATATATATATATATATATATATATATATATATATATATATATATATATATATATATATATATATATATATATATATATACCGAACTTAAGCAAGTATCAAACGTGTTTTAGTGTAGCTGTGCTTCCTAGATATTAGCTTGTCTAGATAACACAATTAATGATTGAGTACATAATTAGCAAAGTTAATATGCAAACTTTATCAAGATGACTCACAATCATTACCAATAGTTACTTTACAGATATTACCTATTATGGGCTCTCCATTGGGATTCCACTATACAATGCTATTAAACACACACACACACACACACACACACACACACATACACACAGTATTCAAATCTAAAACAAAAACGCTAGAGCCACGCTGAAAAATATATTTCACAACGTTCTTTTGTGGGTTTTTTATTCGACAACAGTATTAGACTGGACCAAATAGAATATATGATTCATTAGATGAATAACCGAAATTAGGTGAAAGGTCAATTTCTTAATCATTCTATAGAATTTCTGAATTCCTTTAATCGATGCAGTATTACAGCGTAACGTTTATATAAAGTAAACCGCAATTATACATAACACAGAATAGATGTTTAGTACCATGAAATAGCACCTAACAAGAGCGTTTGCTTTTCTTAGCATGTATCAGGAAATACTGCACTCATGAAGAGGAAACATTACGCCGTTTACATATATTGATTCCATTTCACACGTGAAATATATATTCGGTGCCTTCTGCCACATAAATTTAAAAAAATACATTTATACTATAATACTTATCCAATCAAAATGCGTTAAGTCTTCATCCACTGCCCCTAAAATTCAGCCGTCCAAAGTTACAAATGTTTTTCTCTTCTTTTGGCTTGTTGTAGTACCATAATTTATAAACAGTCTTCAGCTTACCAGTGTTGAACACAGAGGAAGGCGGTCTCCCCGTTGTAATCGGGATTGGCCCCATATTCCGCCCATCGTCGTTTACTACTGGAGAATATTGCCACCTTCTTCCATGGATGTAATTGTGGGAGATTGTGGCTCGTCCGCATTTAGATCTGCTAAGTATTACCATGCAAAGTATTTTACAAAACATGATTTCTTCTTCAAATACGTTTTCGGAGTAAAGTTCGCTTATATTGGCGTTGACCCTGTCACCTGCATCATAAAGTGCGTAAATCTGCTTTGAGTAATGTGATTTATAGACCAGTGTTAGCACATTATACTTTGAAGAATAAGAAGAGTGACTCGTGTCGATACTAAGCTGCTGAATGAGCTTGGAAGCAAGCGGACGCCAGAAAGTCAAAATTATCCCCTTGAGATCAAAGATCACAGAAGGCAAAAAATTACAAGTTCTAACCTGAATCATTGGGCTTGGATGATATTTTTAAGGAAGGAGATTGCATCAATGCAATGTTAGTTGCGACCAGAACATATCTGCGTTAGAAGTATATTCGGTCACCTTAGTTTATTTAGACTGAGAGGAGACCTCATCATATCCAGGATGACAATGACTCGGCGTAAATAGCATCTCTTCCTTCTTTGAATGGTAAGAACAATTTCTATTTTATTTCGCACTCTTGAACTGTTCCGTTTTGTTTATGTATCCCTGCTGAACCTTGACAAATAATACAGTCGCTTCAAGACAAAGAGATGATTGCACAAAAATATGGTCCATATCTTGGGAGATAAAGTACAAGCTATCATGAGAGAAACCGAACAATTGTGGAGAAACAACATATACATCTAAGCAAACAACAAGGTTTATTCTCACTGATTCTACTGCAAAAGCAAAAGTAACAAAGCTATAGAGAATGAACCAGAAATGATTCATGGAGCATCTAGAGAGTATTTTGAAGAGTGATGTTGCGAATGCACTCCTATCGAACTACGATATGCTAAAACAGTGAATATGAAATGTGATGTGATGTAATGTAATTATGTTTTTTAACGTAGCTTTCGCAACTTTTTTAGTCATATCGCTACGATATCTGTAGTTTGGCAATTTATATAGACGTCTAGTGTTACGATCCAGTAGTTGAAGTCTATGTGTGTGTGTGTGTGTGTTAAGGAATCAATCCTGTATTAATCTTTCCGTTTCATTTGTGTTTCATTAAATGCAATTATTATTATGATTATGTTAGCATCAGTCTAATATGTTGTTAGAAACATCATGTCTACTTAAGTCTTAAATGTGAATCATGTTGTGTGTGATTGCAAATTCGTTGTAGGTAAAGATTCAGGGATAGCTATAAAAACGATTGGCTGATACTTGGTCAGGCTTTCCTAATGTCCAGATGTATTGCGAAATTGCATGTATCCTCCGTGCGCATGTAATTGAAACAACGTATTAGCTACGTTTATATGCTTAGTTATTTGTAAGAAAGTTCTGTCAGAGTCGCAATGAGAATAAAGAACAGAGTCGTAGCCTATTGTAACATCTTAGAGTTAAACAGCTTCTATTACCTTAGAAAGGGTATTTTTGTGCTAGAAGAAATTGTAGGTTAGTATATCTACGTAGAACATGTGTTTTGTTAGTGGAGCTAATAGTACTTCGTTTTTATAAATAATTGTACTGGTTTGAACAAAGACATTTTCTGAAAATATTATAAATTGGAACTGTGCTTTACTGTGTAAAATTCTGGAGTTTAATGTTAGCCTTCGTCTGATGTCATCATCCACCATTTTGGACCAGACCTGAACTTCAGACTGTGTTAATTTAGAACTATTCACAGGACGTGTGTCTTTTATCTTTATAACAATTTGGATCTTTTCATGAATCGTAAGTATTGTTTTACATATTTACATTGTTTCCTTGTTTTCTAGGAAAATGAATTACTTTTGTTAAAATTTATAATGTTTGTTTTCTTCACTCTTTCTTTGTGTTACTTTGAACGAACCAATACGTAACACTAGTACTTGGGCATCATGCCGCAGACAGGTAGCACGATGTCCCACCCAGTCACATTATCCTGACACCAGGCCGACCAGTCCTAACACTAACCTCATAATGCTGAGCGTCAAGCGAGGCAGCTGTAAATACCATTTTTGTAAGTCTTTGGTATGATTCAATAGGGGATTGAACCCACAACCTCCTACATTGGAGGCGGACGCTCTTACCACTAAGCCACCTGAGCGGTTTGAATATGAAATGTCGTTATTCTCTATATGAACAGCGAACTAAAAGCCGACACATACAAATACATACATTATGGAAAGTCTGTCCATATTACTTAGACTGTTTTGAGCTGTACACAGCTTTAGAATGTAGGTTAAGCAGTTTGACAAACCGCAAAGGAACAAGTATTGGGTCCGCCTTGTTTTGGATGACAAAAAGTTAATTATCAATTATCCCGTTTAGTAATTAATAAAAAAATGTATTAATTTCGTTTCTCTGATTTTGTTTATTTTACCAAAGGCTTAACTTGGTGTCAACTTTACAGCATTAATTGTTTAGGGGGTTACTAACTGAACCTCGGTGCTGTCCTAATGCAAGTTGAAAGAAATCAAGAATTCAGTGAGATGCTTAGCACTAGTGACAACTTTAACTATTAGGCTGATTCATTTTATTTGATTAAAGATTCTTATTGTATAATTCAGTCATCTTTTTGTAAGCCTTTGGAAAGACTAACCAAAACGTTCCTCACCTTTAATTCAATTAACTCTCAGTATCTTGCCGACTAAAATGCATGATTTGCCAGGCCTTTCTTTACAGTCTATCAACTAGGTGATACAAAATGTCTTTCCAGGCCTGCACTTGGCAAAATTAAATCCGGATTTGGTATAGTTATATATTTCCATAGTTTTGAGCGTGAAATGTGACACTCAACAAAATACAAACTCCAAATCACTGTACTGAGTTCTTATGGTCATGCATGCATCCACATAAATGTACATTGCAAATATATAATCAGCAAACACAAAACACATTCTTCGTCTATTAATTAGGAAAGTTGCAATGTGAGACTTTAAAACTCACAATATTAAAACAATTAGGAAATATGTGGTCTTCGTACGCATATACATACAGTGTAAGAAATGCGTCACTAGCACCTTACCTGTCGACTTTAAAATATTATTTCACTCTTACCCACGATTGTCTTATCAAAGCGTTTTTTTTATGATAATATTTAATTATATCAGCACAATATGCAAAAAACATTACTATAGCGCCTATACTTTAAAAAAATCATAACATTTAACTATCAGAAGTGTATTTACTTTGCATGGAATATTAGATTCAAAACACTTCAAAATATAATATATGCAAATATGACTTTAAAACCATAAAAAGCAGTACTAGTATTTTATTTATGCAATACTAGGATCTTATTATATGGATGCATCTCATTTGATATTATCCTTTAAGGCAACATCAAGATTTGTTTTACATATAAGACAGACCGTGTATATAAGGCTTCAGTAATGTCCAATGCAGTTGTTGTGAAATTAATGACTTGATCTCTTCAAATGTATCCTGTTCATTCCATGGATTTTAGTTATATATATATATATATATATATATATATATATATATATATATATATATATATATATATATATATATATATATATATATATATATATAACGTAAACTCGAAAATATAAATTAGACTTTGACCTCGGGATTTAGACACTACCGCATGCTTGTGAGTAAATAAAACGGAGGCAACTAGCAATATTAATTCATTACATAGTTTCTACATAAATCAGACATTCAATGTCATCGGGACGCAATCAGTAGATTAGCGTATGAATTGGCAACAGTGAACACTGCGGCAGAACATGTTATTATGAATATTGTAAATAACTATAGCAAGCATTATGAGTTAGCCTTCTTGCTCGACCATACTTAAAATGTTATATCGGAGTAAATTAATGTAATCAGTTTTGCATACCATTTGAATATGTTTGCGAGTAAGGTTGAGCACGAGCATAGATTCGACAACACACACATGAATCCTATCGTCGGTAGAAAAAACAGACATCAACACCGTTGAGTAAAATGTTACAAAAGTCAGTCAAATAATAGCCAGATTGACGTGATCGAAGTTTCTGATCCTAGTACAGCTAACTCAATACAAAAGTATTTTGATCGAATAAGCATTTAGAAAATGCCTTCCCCTTAGATATACCGGCATGCCTGCTGTATAACTGCTTCTTGAACACGGAAGCATATCAAGATTCGTCCAGGGGCAATTCGAGCTCAAAATCAAACACGTGGTGGCTAAGCCTAAGAACTTAATCTCATCGCAGCCTCTATCGCCACACAGGCTACTGTGTATGTTGAATAACTAGCCCAAGTCCCTGACTTTAAGTTACACAAATGCAGTAGTGATTTAGGCAATTGCCATGCAATCATTCCAGATGCTTACATTTAAGGCAACGACGCTATGAGACTTCTCTCCAACACGCGTCTGAAAATCATAGCAACATTGTAACTCCCCTCTGGGCTTAAGATGAGTATTCGTCTCGCTGCATATTTGATTATGCGTCTTAACCCTGGTTCACCAGGAAATGATATTTTAAGACTTGCTAGCTAATTGTTGCAAAGTAGTCTTCCTTAAACTTTGACCGTGATGAGATAAACGAAACATGTGCAAAGATTATCTAGACGTTAAAGAAATATACCAACACTGGTTCAGGACCGTGATGAGATAAATGAAACATGTGGAAAGATTATCTACACGTTAAAGAAATATACCAACACTGGTTTAGGACCGTGATGAGATAAACGAAACATGGACAAAGATTATCTAGACGTTAAAGAAATATACCAACACTGGTTCAGGATACACTCTTCCCAGATGTGAGCAAGTGTAACTTCATATTTTCCTCGTGTGGCGGGGAGGGGTTGTGGTTAGTTAAGTCATGTATGGAATAGCATCCAATGAAAAATAGAGTAAAACCACAAGAAAAGAACAACAACAACAACAACAACAACAACAAACTAAAGTTTAGGATATCGTTCTGTGTTCAGCGAGTGTTTGGTACTGGTGGGCAGAATACCCGAAACATGGAATCTGCCCTATATACAAGTGTAAACTAGCTCAAACGAGCTATGTTCCTTAAGCAATACAGTACTCACTCAAAATAAATTTGTTTGTCTTCTGTAGTCTTCTGTTCCGAATCATATATTGACATCCAATCACAGATATATGAAAGTAAAATAATTTCTGTATCCAGTAATGATCCTTTTACGTGAAGATCCCATTATATCACTTTTCAGCATTAAGCGTTCTTTGCTTAAACAATGATGCAAATTATGTGCAGAAGACAATTGATTGGTTGGAATGAGAACTTTACTTAAAACATTTTGAAATTGTTTATTTCTAACGAATCAAATCCATTCTTTGAAAACTATGCATTGCAAAACCATAATGACGGAAGACGTGTATTTTCTTAAATATTACGTTTGGGTTGGAAACGAATTACCACTGTAGGTTGTCTAATCTCAAAGAAAATGTTTACCATGATTGTCCTAGAGTCTGGTATAATTTAATCTTGAGTGACCTAAAGTCCAATGTAATTTAAATTTGAGTGACCTAAAGAGCAATGCAGTTTATCTGTCTATTCAGGCTTCTTTACCTATTTTTCCTTTTTTGCTTTTGTTTTCTTTTCTCACATGTTTCTTAATAAACTTATTTCCGGTTTCGTTTTAATTAAACAGTTCTAATTTTATAAAATAATATTTGCAAGGGAAAAAATACTGGGATTATGATTTTAAACTACCACCTGACTACAGAGATATTTAAGCTCATAAGCTCATAACATATTTATCCAAATTACACACTTTAAAATAACGCCTAGCGTCAAACAGTGTCACATCTTTGTGTAAGGTGGGGACGTACATTCTAATGTATCCTGATAGTTCACCTCTCTGTTGTGCTTTCTCCTTGATACCGATTGTGGTTTTGGTCATGTGATAAACTAATTCTTCTACGAATACTCAATTCATCCAATCTTTATAATTAAGTTGAAACTTTATTAGAAATTAGCACAGATATGGGAATTTATATTCAATGCATAATCATCCCCTAATAACTATATTATATATTAATAGTTCGCATCAGTGCAACACAGAGCAGTGTAAAACTTCAGAATTACATCAATGGGTTGACACAGGGTCTCCGAGTGGCCGAGTGGTCTAAACCGCTGTCCGTTACGGATCACTGCCATCTCACCTCTCTCTGCGTGTGTTCGAGTCTAGGATTCGGCGAATGTGGATATGCGGGAAAGCTTGCCAGTAGCTTCCCGTGGGTCGGTGGTTCTTTCCGGTGATTTCCCGGTTTCTTCCTCCACCATTAATACTGGCCGCCATGAATAGCCTATCGTGTGCTGAAAGATGGCGCAAAGCCCAACAACAACATCAATGGGTTGATACAAAAATATTACATACTACCTTTATACATCATAAAAGGTTTACACTAGCACTTGAATACGGTATAATTAGTAAGAGAGTGTTATTGGCATTGAGCGATCATCACGGAAGGAAGTACTTAGCATATTTTCCTGAAGAGAAACAATCAAAAACCCCTTTTACTAATCAATTCAGCCCCGCTCAATACATGATAGTGTGTTTCTTGTTTCCAGAGAGAGATAAACCTCATTCCAAAAACGTAAGGTTCCATTAATGTAAGGCTATTAGCACGTGATGTTAATGCCATTGGTGTATACGGGATACCAATCTAGTTATCGCTCTTTCCCTCGTGGCAATAGTTTATGACGTTATGGTTGGTTGCGTGACATTGATAAATGCAAATGTTCCGTGGTTCAGTGCGCTATAATAGTCGTCAGTAACCATTCCATGGACTATAAGTACTGTAGTTTCTGGCTTTTTATTAACTGCCTAACAAAATACAGTCTTGATATATTTGTTTAAAGATACGTTGTGAATATCCGTGAAGAAATGATATATAAACAATGGAAATATGTTCAAATACTTCGAGGTTTAAGACAATACAAGGCTATATAAGAAACTTATTATTATTACTTGCATTACACTGTTCTCATCGTTCATACTTTTACACATGACGCAAATATTTTCGATTTCTTTTACTTGACGGAGACGCGACGGGGAAATTATTTCGCTCAAATATATAAATAGTGATAAGAATATTAAGTTTATTCAT